GGTAGGCAAATTAGAGATGAAGTATGGAAAGAACAAAATTCTAAGGCAGTCTAGAAAAATTCTCGCTCTGTCAAAGAATCCTAAAACTTCTGTTTAAATCTTTGAGCACTAAATTTTAAGGTTTCAGCTATAACTGCAGGCTAAAAAGCTATCTGTGATGGTAGTATGAAGCTGGATTCAAACTGCATAGAAAGTTGTAGGATTGCAGACACTACACACAGTACATAAGAAAGTAAGCTGAGAAATTGGTAAGCAGAAGTGATGCCAAAGATGAGATTATTATAATAACAAGTGTCAAAGCTTTTCATTTTTAATAGACTCTATATATTTGAAATGGTATAATCCTTAGTCTTAGGATTTCAGGGCATAAATGTGTTATACTTAATGTTCAATCCCATGCTGATATCCAACATTTGTTAAGACCATCTAATGTTGAAGGTGAATGAGGAACAAGAACAATCTTCAAAGAGTAGCTACTCTGTTATGGTCCTATGATTTTGCATAACTAAAGCTTTTTAAGAATTAATTTTTGATGTATTAATAGCATCATAACAAAAAGGAAAATATACCAAACTGAGAGGCAGAAGACTTGAGCACTTCAGTCTCAGTCCTACAGCTAATTGGTTCTTTAACCTTGGGCAATTTGATTCCTGTGTTATTTTGCTACGGTTGCAATAACAAAGTGCTATTGCTTAGACAACAGCAATTTATTTTCTCACAATTCTGGAGGATAAAAGTCCCACATCAAGGTCATCAGCAGAGTTGGTCACCTGAGTCCTCTTCTCCTTTGCTTGCAGATGGCTGTTTTCTTCCCGTGTCTTCACATCACCTTCACTCTGTACATGCCTGTTATAGATGAATGTTTGTGTCCCCCCAAAATGTATATGTTGAAATCCTCATCCTCAGTGTGATTATTTAGGAGGGGGGCACTTAGGGAGGTGATTAGGTGATGAGGGTGTTGCCCCCATGAACGGGATTTGTGACCTTATAAAAGAGACCACAGAGAGCCTTTGCCCCTTTCACCACTGAGGACATGGTGAAAAGATAGCCGCAGTCTGTGAACCAGGAAGCTGGTCCTCACCAGACACCAAATCCATTGGTACACTGATCTTGGACTTCCCAGCCTCCAGAACCATGAGAAATAAATTTGTGTTGTTTATAAGCCACCCAGTCTATGATAATTTGTTACAGCAGCCCAAATGGACTAAGACAATGCCTGTGTCCAAACTTCCTCTTATCAGGACACATTTCATATGGAATTACCCTAATGACCTCATTTTAATTTAATTACCTATTTAAAGATCGTGTCTCCAAACACAGTCACATTCTGAGGTACTGAGAGTTAGACTTCAACATATAAATTTGCAGGGACACAATTCAGTCCATAACCTTCCCCTTTCTGATAAGGATATTGGAATTAATCATTCTAAAGTCTGTTCTCACTCTATGATTTACATCATATATATATACACACATCATATATATATGATACACACACACACACACACACATATATGACCTAAATCAGATTACCTGTTACACTTTATGGACTACAAAATTAAAACTAGTGGGTATAAAGCTCAAGAAAACTAATATTCATCAACAGAAATGTCTGAAATCATGATACCATTACAATGTTAATGAAGACCACAGATGGTAAATGTTCATTTGAATTTCAAATAGTTGTAGCTTTTTGAGGATAGTGAAATGATTAAGCAAAGTTTGCATGGTAGAAAAAAATGTAAATAATTGTCTTTCTCTTATTCTAGTAGGTCCTGTGAGGACATTCTGCAAATATCTGTTGAAATTTCCATGGACTGAAACTATCAAAAGGCTTTTTACTGAGGCTATGAAAATTAGTTAATTGTATAATAACCATGGTCTATGGTTTGAGGATATAGCAAGAGATCTGTAGTTGCACCTCTTGTTATTGTTTCTTTTTTTCTGTAATGATTCTACAGCTAAGTTGATAGCATAATATGTTTTCCCAAGGATCTTTATTCCCATATTCACCTGGAAAAACTCAAAGGGAAAGCCATCTATAATTTCTCCATGGTAGACTCAAAGGCTCCATAAACTCTTTAGATGCATTTTGGTCATGGTCACAGAACCATGAATGACTTCGATGAGAAATGATCTAGACTAGTGCATAATAAAATTGGTCACATAGAATGATCTGAGTACCTTAAGATTATTTAGGCCTCACTTTAATACATTTAGATTCAGTAGGTTTAGGATAGAGCCCATGAGTAAAAATTCTCGACACATAACCCTCCGACAGTCACACGCTCCCCACCAAGATTTTTATGTAGCTGGTCCATCTATGTTTGGCAATTGTTGACAGAACCCTAGATCTCATAGACCTTGGAATCTGCTACAAGACCTCATCAATCCCTGAAGAACTGAAATGGTTTGGTTTTACTTTCTCTTGCCAAAGATACTCTCTATCTCACAGGTCAAGAACCATGTATAAGGGAATAGTAGCATTGTGAAGGTGAGCAGATCCATTTGCGATATTCTAACATGTTTAAAATGTTCTCTAATAATCAAGGAATATTAAGTCCTAATTAAGTGTCCTAATTGCTTATATGAATTTGAAGAGAAAAGAGCTAAGACTATCCTCTTGCCTGGGCTTTCCTCAGGGTACATTTTCTTCATCTGTACCATTCATTTTTTTTTAATTTAGTTTGATTTTATTATGTTATGTTAGTCACCATACAGTACATCACCATTCATTTGTAAGAAAAAATTCTGGAAGATTTTGAAACTTAGTGAGCACACTGTCTAGTTCATCAATACAGGTTATCTCTGCCTTTGCCTTCAACCATATTATTTTATAGTGCTGTAGAGATAGAAGTTAATTGTAGAAAACTGTTATTAATGAGAACAATTTCTGGCCATAGAAATGCACATGGTGTCCAGTGAATGCCATTGATTATTGCCCTGTGAATACTGACCAGTTTGGCTACTTTGCACCCATTTGTAAAAATCATCTCAGCGTTCCTTATCTGACAATAAATAGTTGGTACTCTGAATTTTCATTTGAGTGGTTATAATATCTTATTTGTTCTCTCATTAATTAGTGAGTTAAGTAAAAATCTGACAGATATTAACTTGTATGAGAATCATAACCATAACCACTTTTAAAATTTATCCTTTAACCTATTCATTTATTAAACATTTATTGACTACATATTAGGTATCACATTTGTTAGAATAGTAAACAAAAGAGACACAGCCCTTGTTTTTTTTTTTTTTATAGAATATACAGTTTAAAGAGAGGAACAAAGCAGTAAACAGGCTCTAAAGGAGCAGGCAATGATAATATATTATCTTTGTCATGGGCACCCTTGGATATAGCCCCCAAGGATCCCTGTTTACTGACTGCTAATCTGCTCTTGTGCCGTCCCCTCCCCTTGAGTATGGGCAGGATTTATTGACCTGTCTATAAGGAATAGAACCAAACAGAATAGAATAGCCAGGATGGTATGTAATTAATTCCCAAGACTGAATTACAAAAAATTATAAATTCTATGTTGAGCACCCTCTCTTGTTCTCTTGCTTGCTTATTCTTAGGGAATCAGCTGCCATGATGCGAGCTGCCCTATGAAGAGCCTCGTGTGGCAGAGAACTAATGTCTCCAACCCCCAACAGCCACATGAGTGAGTGTGGAAGCAGATCTTCCCAGAGTCAAGCCTGGAGATGTGGAGATGGCGCCAGTCCCAGCCAACCCCTTAACCGCAAACCTGTCAAAGAGCCTGAACCAGAGCCACCTGCATTCCCTACCCACAGGAACTGTACCATAATGAATGTTGCTTTAAGCCATTATATTTTAGGGTAACTAAAATGCAATAACAGATAACTATTATAGTCTTTTTCTTGGCAAACCATTAGAATATTCTATCACAGATGCCTCAACAGTAACCACAAAGCTTAGGGCCAGTGTGGGGATCTTGCATCCAATATTGTTACCCTTCAGCCTCATTGTCCAGAAATTAGTTAGTTTCCAGGTCCAGGTGAACCAACACTGGCAATTGCAGATACAACAGCATAAACATCCAGAAAGGGAAAAAAAAAATCCTCCTCCCAAAGGAGATCTGGTGTGACAACAGAATCCTCATAAATACTAGAGAAAATGACTCTAGCAAACAGGAAATATTAGTTTATGATGCTATATAAATCACAGAACAGTTTTTTTTTAACAAAGCCCTTCTTTGAATGCCATGGTTTCTCCTTAGATGTTTTCCTATACCAGTCCCTTTTTTTCTCCTTTCTTTTGATCTTAGCAGTTCCATATGCCATCCCCTTTTAAGTAGCATTGGCCAGTAGGAGAATATGGTAAAAGAGAGACTGGAACTGGAAATGCCTGAGTTTAAATTTGGGCTGTTACCAATTGTAGAGCTTTGGTAAATTACTCAATCTTAAAACAGACATACTAATGTTTACCTCTCAGAGTTTTTGTGAATCTATCAGCTTCAAAATTGGAAGTAATGCACTGAAGGACTCAGCACACAGTAGGTACTAGATAAAGAAAAGTCATCATTATTATTCCCGCTCTCATTCCTTTTTAAGGCTGGTCCTAGGGCATCCTCCAATATATTTTATTAAAAATCCCTTTGTCAAGCTGTATTTAATAGCAAAAGACATCACAAGATCTAGAAAATTCTATTTCAGAGGAAATATTGGTTCTTCAGTCCTAATGCAGAGGAAAAGTTGTTTGTTGACATTTATCAAGTAAAGTAGAGGCTAAATGCCCAGGAAATTTGTCATAAGGCGATCCATAATATAGCCCCTCTCTGAAAATAAAATTAAATATAAAATAATTGATCAACAACTCAAAACATTTAAAAATCTTTGAACTACGGGCCCCTGGCTAGCTCAGTGGGAAGAGCATGCGACCCTTGATTTTGGGTTCGTGAGTTTGAACCCCACAATGGGGGAAGAGATTACTAAATAAATAAACTTAAAAAATGTATTTTTAAAAAATCTTTGAACAAAATTTAACTGTATTTCGTTGCCTCCTGAATGGAAAAACCCAGAGAACCAGAGAACAGGAGTGGGAGGGAAAATTCATCTTAACAGTATATTTGTTGGTAGTTTAAAATTCTTTGTACTTTATATAGATATCACCTAATCAAAGTGTTATTCATTACCTAAAATGTATGCGCTCTAAATCATATTAATATCGCACAATTAATCTTTCCCTTTCAGTTTTATTATTCCCAACATTTCTTTTCTCCATTTTAGTACAAGAGAACATTAATTCTAAACATTTTCTTTCAAAAATAGTACTAGTATCAGTTTTATACTCCATAGAGATAGCTGCCCCAATCGCAGTTTTGACTGCGTGTTTCATCCAGCTTTGATCATCTGTGCTGAGGAAGGAATCCACCTCTCTTTGGTCTTCTCCTAGAGGAGAGCAAACCCCGAAACTTTGCACCACCTTTCAAGCCAACTATTTCTTATTAGCTATCGCATTAAGCAGTTCATCCTAAGTCTGCAACCCAGGACACATCTGGATGCATCCTCGTTCTTCTCTCTTCACCTCCGAGATAGGTGGCTTGCTGGAATGTGAGCTGGAATATTCTGTCCTTGTTCTTGGACCATCATAATAGTTCCTCTTCACTGAAGAGTCAGAATAAGAAATGGAAGTTAAAATAGAGAAAGCCATTCTAATTGTCCTGAAACCCAGATAATCGTAGTAGTTATTTCAGTGAGCTTCATTCAGGTTCTTACCTCTGCTGAATGGTGAGTGGAAATTTTGTGTCTTTGGAAGCACTGAAGCCATCATATCCAAGATTTTCAACTGAGGCAAAGCAAATTAACTCCCAATTAGCCAGGACAAGCCAAAGGTTTTCCACCTTTGCTAAAAAAGAACCAAATGAGGCCCCAGCACAGTAACAGGTACGGTATTTGTACTGGAAAGATATTTGTTGGTCTGCGACGATCTGCTTCCAGCTTCGGTGGAGAGCTGAAAGGTCCTGAAAGGGGGTCAAGTGATAGGGAAGCCATGAGGGTGTGCCAGACTCTCCACCCTCCACTTCTTCACAAGGAACAGTGCAGCCCTCTGCCTTGACGCTAGGTAAGCACACCCACCTCCACACTCCATCAGGGACCTTGTTCCTCTTTGCTTCTCTGTTTCCCATCCCACCAGTATATTTTTCCTCTCCTACTTCTTGACCTTTCATTTTATTTTTTTTTAAGGATTTTACTTATTTATTTATTCCACAGAGAGAGCGAGCGAGAGAGAGAGAATGAGCAGGGGGTGGGGGGTAGGAGCAGAGGGAGAGGGACAAGCAGACTTCATGCTGAGCACAGAGCTGGATGCAGGACTCAATCCCAGGACCCCGAGATCATGACCTGAGCTGAAATCAAGTCAGACACTTAATATATTTTTATTTATTTGACAGAGAGATAGAGCACAAGTAAGCAGAGCGGCAGGCAGAGGAAGAGGGAGAAGCAGGCTTTCTGCTGAGCAGGGAACCCCATGCAGGGCTCGATCCCAGGACCCTGAGATCATGACCTGAGCCAAAGGCGGTCACTCAACCGAGCCACCCAGGCGCCCCTCCCCCTTATTCTATTTTTAACTTTTAGCCTATTTTATTGCATTTTAATTTTAGCATTATCCTAGATCTTTTTCTTAATTTTAGGTTTCTCTATAATTTTAAACCATTATGTTTAATTTTGTCTACACTACTGTTAGTGTTCTCTAATAGTTTACTGCAATTACTAGCTTAGGCCTGTCCTTTACTTGGGTTTTGTTGACCTCCTTTGTTCTCCCATTTCTTCTTTTTGATTCAAATCAACAGTGGTGGTGATTTTTAATGACCTTCATTGTGGGCAACAAGAAGTGAGTCTAGAGAAGTGGTTACCAAACTTTAGTGTGTCTTAGAATCACTTAGAGGGCTTGTAAAACATGGATAGATGGTACCAGTCCCAAAGTTTCTGATTCAGTGGGTCTGGTGTGGGGCCCAGGTGATGCTGATGCTGTGAGGTGGTGACCACATTTTGAGAACCACTGGTCTGGAAAAGTATGAATAGGGGATAGAGTCCTTATTATAACTAGGAAAATCCCTTCCCATGCATCCTAGCCCCTTTTTGCCATGCAAAAATTGGATTTATTGGATGCTTTATTGGATTTTCTTTCTCTTCCACATGCTTTATTGGATTTTCTCCAACACATTCTACTTCCTCCTCAATATAAACTTTTCCCAGGGCCATTACCCTCCCCCCTCTGCATATGGGTCATTGATTGGCCAAAAAGGTTACTCATTAAAATATGACACCAAAAAAGTCTATCACACTATTCTCCTTAAGAGAAAATATGTGACTCAGAATCCATGGTAACCAAAATATATAATAACTGGGTTTTAGGCAAATCTTGGTAATTGCATGCTAGGAGGGAAGAGCAAGGTGAACCTCATACCCAAGAATATGCAGTTCTGGCTTGACCCCTGTGGGAAACCAGGAGTAACGGGGCTCTCAGAGGCCCACAAGAATCCAGGAGCCTGGAAATCAGAGTCCTGTCACTGCTGTCAAAGTATTCACTTCCAATGTAATTTGGAGAGAATAATGACAGAGACAACTAAAAGCCCTGCTTTGGCCCATCTCTGTCCCCCTCCTTTTCCCCCAGGATCACTGTTTCCCTGTAGTGGATGCATACAACCCATGCCTGCTTGTATAATTTTATTATCTGTGTGTCTACTAACAATATATAGCATTATTACATGTTATATGATATTCATATACTTTATATCTTTTCTCGTACTTTCTGATTATGATCTTTGTCTCCCTTCTATGTCTATTATCTTATCCCCAACTCCTTCATTCTCCCAAATTCTGAAAGTACAGGGGTATGGTTGGGCTGGGCTTTTCCAGGCTTTTTTCTTTGTCCCTAGAGAGTCCTATCCTGTAAAAACTAGAATCCCTCAAAGGATACTTTATCAAATTTGGATCTAAGCCACACTGATAACTCTGATAACAATTCCCCTTTTTGCCCCAAATTGCCTGACAGCTTTGTATCTTCCACTGAAAGATTTTCCCATTGAAAGGATTCTTCCCCAATACTAATCCTCCTGTCTTCTCCCTACCTCTCACACCCTGCCATCTCGAACATACTGCAAAGTTTCAGAAAGTGGGAGGGACTTAGTTATCTCCAGATGGAGGGCTTTAACCCCACTGCCTGATTCCAGCCATCTCACCAGTGACCCCCTAATCCAGTGGGGATTAATGGTCAGTCAAAAACCCTTCAGACTCGCCCCCTATCTTGACTCAGCTGGGCTCAACCGGCTGGATGTGGAGTGGACAGCTCCACAAGAAATGGCACCCTAACAACCCGTGAGCCATGAGCTACACAGCACCGCCAGTAAGTGGGGGTGGTCCTGGAGCGTAATCTGCATTCTCCAAGAATCCTCTTCTGCATTTTGGCTGTAGACCCCAAGAGTAAGGTCTACAAAATGTTGGGGGCTATTAATGTTAATTGCCTGCTAGGCTTCTGGATTTTTCATTAATAATTTCTCTATGTTTGGTCTTTTGGGTCTTTTAATTCTCTAGCCATTTCTTAGAGAAATACAGATAGATCCATCATCCTGACCTCTATCAGTTTTATGGCTTCTATTGCAAAATTGTCTAATGCATTAGGAAAGAAATCTTTTTCTGTGATTTTAGAACTTGTTCCTTGGCAAGCTGAATATATGATGTGTTTTCATTTTGAAGTAAGCATATAATTTATCACCTAAACTGGAACATTTTTGAGAGTGACAAATGCTAAACCACTTGAGATGCTAGTACAACAGAAGAACACTGGCCAGTCTAGACAAACCAGATGGACGATCATGGTCACCCCACTGAGTGTGCACATTCCCTCCCCCAAGGGAAGCTTCCAGAGGAAGCTTTCAGCAAACAGGCTGTGGTGTCACCCCTGCCAGGACCATCTGTTTATGTTTGCAGGCCCAGGGAAGCCTTGAGACTAGCTAAGTCACACAAAATGTATTTGAACACATGTGGGATCTGTAGTCCAACTGCCTGTGTTCTTCCAGTGGAGAAATCTGTACGAATCCATGTTATAAATAGAAACTTCATTATCCGCACTGTGTGTTTCTGCCTTGGCTCAAAATGTAGGAACTTCCATCAACATTTCCTTTCTCTAAGAAAAGTGTTGGAGACTTTGACAAACATTTCTGCCTTCTCAGAAATGCCAAGGGAAAAAAATCTTCCATTCTTAGCAAATCTCAATTACTAGCAACTTCTCATACAAGGAGGAGTGACTGAACTGATGGGGTAGACCGGGGAGAAACCAGTAACCAGTGGGCCGCATTTCTCCATTGATCAGGGCTAATAATAATAATAACTGACATTTACTGAATGGTTGCTCTGTGCTGGGGAACTTTACATGGTTTTGTATGGTGCATTAGCTCCAGGCTGGCAGCTCAGCATACCCAGAGGATGCCACAGAGGATATTAAAAATGCACGAACAACAACAACAACAAAAAACCCAGCAGAGTGAAAATTCTAGACACGTGGTTTGCTCTGTATGTGTGTGTTGTGACCTAACGAATCCCGTGAACCCCTGGTGGAGCTGATCCCCTGTGAGCCTGCACCCTCCCGTCGTCGGCAGGTCGGTGTACCAGCCGGAGCAAGGAACTGACATTCAGATTTAACCTTCAAATGAAAGAGGAAACATGAGTCACAACTTCATAGGACAGTTCTGCCACACAGGTTTCTGTATGGTGATTTAGCTTAAACCCAATTAGTAGATAGGGGAGTAGTGTCAGGTTAACAAAGTCACATTGGTTCATACCAGTGTTTCCTTAGCCAATGGAGAGTAGAATTATACTCATCAGCAGGAAAGAGAAAGCCCAGCTTGGATCTGCAGTGGCAGCCGGAGCACTTCTGGCTTTAATTTTTAAAATGTGAAGCAAACACCTGCACTCTCAGAGGCACGCGGACCCTGCACAGCTCTTGGCTCACGGCAGCTCATGCTGCCCTCAGTGCCTACTGTACAACGGTCCCCGGGACTCCGAGGTCGGCTTCCAGCCACACTGGCTCTGGGCCATCCAGCTCTACTGTCTTCTCTTTGTTCTCAACTGGTTCAGAATCTTGAAGGAGAAGGAGAAGTGAGGGATTAGATCCTCCTCACCTTTTTTTTAATTAAAAAAAAAAAAGATTATTTATTTTAGGGAGAGCTTGTGTATGAGCGGGGGGAGGGGCAGAGGGAGATGGAAAAGGAGAGAGCATCTCCAGAAGACGCCCCGCTGAGCACAAAGTCTGACTTGGGGCTCCAAGCCATGAGCCCTGAGATCATGACCTGAGCCAAAACCAAGAGTCCAAGAGTCGGATGCTTAACTGACTGAGCCACCCAGGCGCCCTTATATCATCCTCACCTTTAACTCAGTGGACACGGGCTCTGGTACAAGCAAAGCTCAACCCAAACCTTCACTTACGGATGCTCAAACAGCATTCCATCACAGCAATCATCACAGTAACAGCACCATGCATTCAGACAGTGTTTGCTACTTGTCAGGAATGTTCTAAGAGTATTACACAGTCTTATACACTGAAAGGGATCAGGATATGCCATCCCCAAAATATGCCACTTTGACAGGATTATTTTGAGCTGAAGGCATTTGAGTTCTTGAAATCCCTTACCTGCCTAGAAGCAGGGCCTCCCAAAAGAACTCAGTTGTCACAAATCCCCTCCCAGGAGCCACTCTACTAGCTTCTGGGAGACAAGAAGTCGGCACCACACCCAGACACACAGTGTCACAAACTATCATATCTCCCATATATGCCTCTAAGGACCCATTTATCTTTCCAAAAAGCCATTTGCTCTTCCATAAGTGCTCTTTCCCATCATTTCCCCTGCTAAGTTAGGTATATAGACCCCAAATTCTAACCACTCCTTTGAATTCCTCATCTCTAAGTGTTCCAACTGTATTCAATGTACATGCTAAGAACCTGTTTTCAAGTTAATTTTTTGTCAGCCAATTTATAGGGCCCCAGCCAGAAGGCCTAGGAGGGTAGAAGAAAAAAACAATTTTTTCCTCCCCTACAGTTTTGTGTATGAATTCATTTAATCACCACAACCCCATGAGGTAGGTGCTTTCAGCTGAGGAATGAGACATGGAAAGGTTAAGTGGTTTGGCTAAAGACACTTATTACAATGGCATAACCTGGAGCAAAAGCAAAGTTCTAGAGATGGAATGACAGTTTTGGGGGGCTGGAGGCAGTGCTGAGTGGATAAAAGGAAAAAACAAAAAAGAACTAATATCAACATTCTTGGGTGGGCATCAAAGGGAAATTGTGGGTTCAACCTAGATAAATTGGAATTTTGGAAAGTCCTATGGTTTGTGAATGTCATCCTGGGGCTGGCTGCCCAGATAATTGATAGCTTGTAAAACATACTAATTTTTTTTTTTAAATCATGTAACACCAAAATGAATTCAAGCTAGTCTTCAACTAGAAGAGGAGCCTAAAACAATCCTTAAATTTATCAAAAATAGATTTCTGATAGAAGAGCTGAAATTTTCCACAAGGGTAAAGCAAAGTTATTACCCCCACCATTCTTTATAACTTGATTCTTAATGATCAGATGCTGCTTTCAGATGAGTTGGACACAGTCCCATAGAGAACAGAAAGATGAACAATGTTTTACAGGCTAATGATGTGGTTATATTATTATCTCAAATCGTGAGTAGCTTGAACAAACAACAGGTTCTGCAAGCTCATTATTGCCAGAAAAGAGAGTTACTTACCAACTTTTTAAATGTGAAAATAGTTATTTTTGGAGGATGTCCCAGAACCTTTAACCAATTTATAAACAATAAGCCAATACAACAAGTTGTCTCAATTATCTTGGTGAATACTGAACAAATAGAACATCTTGGAAGATGTGTGAGGAAACAGCTCTTCAAGGTCAGGTATTCTATAGGTGCTAAAGGGAGGTTTTCAAGAATTGTTTTTGTGGTTTTTCACCTGAAGCAAGTATCTGATTATAACGGCTTTAAATTGTTTTCAAGCTAAATCAATCATTGCCATGCTACACAGAGCAGAACTTTTGGATTCCATTTTATGTTCATTTGTATGCTATAAAAGATCCAAACTGTATTTTGGGGAGAACTTCAGCCTTTTGCAGGTATTTTTCTATATTCATCTCAAGAGATTACAAAGGCCAGCATAGAAGCACATGTATCTGGATATATATCTGCTCTAGGCCTCACCCTGTTACACTGCTTTTATTTTAATTCCAATACATTCTACCTGGTCACATTTATGTATCATTTTAAGAAGCTATAAATCATTTTTTGAAGATGATATACAAATAAATTGTAAAAGAAATATAACTTAAGTGATTACTTCAAATATATATCTTCAAATATAAATTCAACTAGCAGTGTAAATACACACATATACATATTGAAACTCTTCCAAAGTTTGCATAAAAACTTCTCTCAGTTGAACAACTGAATTATTTACTGAATTAAGGTGCCAGCTCTTAGCTTATATACCACATTTAAAGGTTTTGCACTGAATATTTCCTTTTCCTAAAACAGGAAAATTTTACAACAGTCACCTTTCCTAAGGGGACAGTATTATCTTTACAGTAAGGTTTAATCTATCTTGAAGAAAGGAAAGTTGTGTGTACAACTAGAGTGTGCACTATTTCTGAATCTGGAGCCATCCAACTTCTTTGCAGGAATGGCCAAGACAGAATGAGTCATCCTATCCAGTTGGTTTCCATTTAACAAAGGACTAAACTTTCCCCACCACTTCAATTAGCTTTATACACTGAAACACATTTTCAGCCCTTAGACTATAAACCCTTTTACTGAAATGGAAAGATTGGAATTTATAGACACAGGTTCAACCATTTTCAGAAGTCCCAACTTTGTTCTTTAAAAGAAACATGAAAGGATTTCTCTCATTATTAGATAAAATGCCTAAGTTTGTTTCCCCAAAAAAGAAGAGTCAGAAAGATCTTGAATGCAGGTAGTTTATTTGGGTGGAGATCCTAGGATATAGGAATGAGGGACCAAGGAAAATGAGTTCAAAAGGTAGAAAAATCCAATATAAGTGTCCATAACCAAAGTTCTCTGGGCAAAAGGAGCTCAATTTTTTTTTTTTTTGTAGTTTTTAATTTAATTATATTATGTTAGTCACCATACAATACATCATTAGTTTTTGATGTAGTGATCCACGATCCATTGTTTTCGTATAACACCCAGTGCTCCATGCAGTACGTGCCCTCCTTAATACCCATCACCGGGCTCAATTCATCAGGACATACTGAGGGTCCTAATGCATAGATCATGCTTCCCAGAATTATCTTCCCCAGGGACAAGAGGCTGGAGCTTCCATCTCCCACTGATACAAGGTTGTTCTAGAAGTTAACTCACCTGTATTTTCAGGTTTCCTGGTATCAGAGAAGGATTTGGGGTAGAGCGCCGAAAAATCTGGCTCTCACTTTTAGTGAGAAGTGCAAAGTCAGCCTGAGGTTGTACAGAAATATACACTTCAGCTTCAGCTGAAACCAGAGGTAGGCCTAAGGAATGTGATTCAGTGTTCTGGAGGTGTCTAATAAAAGTACCCAATGTGACAGATAAGTTAATGAACCACACTTCTTGTGCAGTCCTGCTTCCACAGTCTGGGCTGGGCTTCTCACTACTCTAATAGGATAAAACAGAATTGATACTATGCCTGTTCTGGGTCTAGCCCTCAACGACCCAGAATCTTCTGCTTCCTACTTCTTGGAATGCCTGCTCTTGGAACCCAATCACAGTAACTTGAAGCTCAATGTAAGGACCATGTGGAAAGAACTGAGATCTGGCTGAGAGGTCTGGCTGAGCTCCTGGTCAAGCCTTCAGATGACTGATGCTGTCTGACCTTGGACAATACCATGTTGGGAAGAACTGCCCAGGGACGCTGTGGAATTATAAGCCATAAAAAAAATTATTTTATTCCCTAACATTTTGGGTTACTTATTTTAGTCACAGAAATCAATTAAGATATCAGTCAAGAAACCTTAAAACAAGTAGACAAGTAGGGTTGTCAAAGTCCCTAAGAAGAATAGCTTCCAGATACATCCATAGGAGAACTGATTTTTCCTAGTTTTGCCTACTCCTCACCAAGCCCTGTGGCAACCCTTATCATATCTCTGACCATTAGTTATGGCTCTGAAGGATTTCAAGTAATTTTAGTGATTCTGAGAGGAAATGTTTTTTGATATTTTTTGCCAAATTACATTGCTGAGTATTATTGTGTAACAAATTTTCATGTCTACTCTAACCTTTCTCCCCAGTGTGGATGGTTATAGGGTTACCAGATTCATCTGATGTTCACTCAACAAGCGTCATTTAAAATTCACTAAACAAATACTGAGTACCTACTGTGTGGCAAGCCCTGTTCTAGGCACTGCTATTATAATAATGGACAAAACAGACAAAAATCCCTGTCTTTTTGGAGACGGAAGATTGACAAACAGCAGAAGAAATACACAGAATATAAATATATATAAATATAAATACTATATATAGTATCTAGAGAATGTTAAGTGTTAAGGAGAAAAACTAAAGTAGGGAAGGAGTATAGAGAAAATGTTTAAAAATAGGTGTTAAAATTTTGCCCTTAGGAAAAGGGAACCACAGGGAATCTAGGGGAAAAGCAGAGGAGCAGCAAGTACAAAGAACCTGAGGCAAGACCGTTACTGAAGTATTCAAGAAACAGTGATGAGGCCATCGTGGCTGGAGCTGGATGAGCAAGGGAATAGTAGTAAAGAAGGTCTAAGAGTTAACGGAGGCCTAGAACACACAGGATCTTTTGGAAGTCAGTAGAGAATTTGAGCAGAGGGGCAATATGATCTGACTAAGTCCAAGAGGATTATTCTGGCTTCTATATTAAAAGCAGAATGGGAAAGAAG